AAAATCATCCATGCGAGAGATAAGGGAGTAAAGTATGATGTCCATTGGAATGAAAGAGACTAGTTAGTTGAGCCTAACGGTGCGTTGCTAACAAGTTACATCGGAGCACTTGTACGTTCGCAAGTTCCGATTACTTGCGATAATTGGAGAATTGTTTCTTTACAACCGGCTAAAGATAAGATTTTGACTGAGATTCAAGTATAATATTGGAATTGTTTAATTATTGTTGACATTTACGTCTTTAAATTAAATATACTAACATGTTATATGTATGTGTGTTTGTTTGCAAAGATCTTTCAATATTGAAGATCGTAGGAGAAAATATTGTATTCAATTGGCCGGAAAACGCTTGAGGGGATTTAGAGCGTTTTTAACAAACAAGTTTCTAAAAGATTATGAAGGAAACTTTGTTGACTCAGAGCGTCCGATGAAGTACGCGGATTTGATTTCGAAGGAAGAATGGGAGACGTTTGTTGCAAAGCGAAGATCAAAAGAATTTGAAGTAAGTACATAAAGGGCATCAATAGTATATACTTATTCCATGTACAGGAGTTCTGATAAACTTATTTTTTCAGGTTGTTAGTGGCGTAAATCGTCAACGGGCATCAAATCCCGCATATCCATACAGAAAGGGCCGGTTGGGATATGCATGATTAGAAAAAAAAATAGTAAGTACATATAAATGCTTTAATATAATATATTTACAAAAAATAGTAAGTATATATGATAGGATACAATGCTTTATTATCCGTCTTAATGCGTAGTTGGAAGAGGAGAAGAGTGATGCGACATCTCTTCCGGACCATGTTGTATGGAAGGCTGCCCGTGTGGGACGAGATGGAGTCGTTCAGGAAGAAGTTCAACAAGTCTTTGAACAATGTGTAAGTACAACGTTATCTTTGTCAATAATTGATCGAAAGTGTGTAATATATTTATATATGTTTTTATCTATATTTCAGGAGACTCTGTCCCAGACCATAACTCCCGCCGAGGACAATGATTGCAGGAGCTTACTGAGTCGGGTGCTGAATATTCCTGAGTATTCTGGGCGTGTGAGGGGTAAGGGGTTTGGTGTCACTCCATCCAAACTGTATAAGCAGCCAAAGAAAAAAAATCCAACCAATAAAGAAGTGATGGAGACTTTGGAGGAATTGAAAGCGCAAATCCGTGAATTACAGAAGGATAAGGAGAGATACATGACGGAAAGACGCGCTCCAGAGGGTAGAGCTACTAGTGACAAAGATAGTACCGGTTGTCCACAGAAGCTTCCAGAGGTAATTGTATATATTACATTGAAATTAATTTAGCACACTTTACTTAATTGACACATTAACTGATCATTATTTGTTTAGGGCATTTCACTTTGCCGGCTATATTTATCGTCACCTACTCATCGAATGGTTGGCAAGGGAATGGTGCATAACTTTCTGGGAGACTTACTTCACCACAAACCGCTCCCTTCTGGATTTTTGAAAGTATCTATTGATATTGCATTAGAAGGGAGTGCGTTGTTGCCTATACCAGATGATATTTCAGGCGCAACAGTGGTGGGAGACGCAGTAGGATCGTATGTGGCATGGCCGGCAAATCTGATTTGCATAGATGATGAGGTAGGTTGAACCTTTTAATACTCAAATGTTTTATGATTCATACATGAAAGTTATTCTTACATCTATATTTTCTTATTTACATGATGATCTTAGACTCCTACAAAATCTAAATCAAAAGATGATAGAATTATTGTGCGGGATACCGATTCAGCTGCATCAAAGAAACAGGTACTACTACAGTTACATGACTATCTTGTTATACAATATTAATTACTGAACTTATATATGACTTTTAGGTTCATGATCAGCAGTCGCAACAAGTCAGCAAGAGTAAGATGCCTGAAACTTCCAAGATTCCCAGAAAAGCAACTGTTCCTCGATTTAGGATGTGCCTTGAAACATATGTCGGAACATCAGATGTGCCTGAGGGTGGCGTCCGTCAAATACATATGGAGGCAGGTATTTTCGGTTTTGAATATCCCGAAACAATTGCTAAAGAGGATTTTGATCAGGTTTTCAACCATTCTGAACTGGGCGTCGGTGTTATGCATTCATACATCAGGTACTCCGATCCATTTTTATTAAATAATTGAACATTTTAAAATTTGCTCGTTTAACTTAATATTCTAATGTTGATTATGTTTTTTTAGGTTCTTGTATGACAAGTTATTGGTCCCGAATGAATTGACTTCAGTATTCGCATTCTTATCTGCTAGCTGTGTCAACTCACGTATAATAGACCAGTCACCAGATACAGTCAAAGAGTACACAGTGCAGAGATTTATGCACGCGACTACGGAGAAGTTGTTCTTGTTGCCATATAACACTGGCCATGGGTTAGATTTTATTCTAAATTCATTTATTATAATTGTTCGATTTTTCCCTTTCTATATATATAACATTTCCGTCTAAACTGTTGTCTTATTTTATAATGGACATTGGTTGTTGATCGCAATTAATCCGACGAAAGAAATAGTGTATTATATAGATTCATTGGATGGCGATACAACAAAATATGAAAATCTGAGGAACTTTGTTGATACGTAAGTGATGACATATACTGTTGTCTTTAATTATATATCTTTATTTATTATGTGACATTGTTCTAAATATGCGTTTATATTATGTTAGAGTTATACAAATATTCAGAGCACAAAGAGATGCAACGGTGCCAAAAAGGAAGGCTAACAACATCAACTGGATCAGAGTAGAGGTATATTCTCGCATGTTTCTACTTGATCAAACTATTTCAACTATATATCCGGATAAATGTTCGTTTGTTTTTTCCATTTACAGTGTCCTCGGAAGCGTAATGGTATTGACTGTGGATATTTTGTATTGCGCTTTATGAGGGAAATTATTCTTTCTAGTCAACTTGAGATTACAGTCCTGGTATGGATCAATTCATTATATAAGTTATATGATTCATTTTGATAATTATCTGATACTTCATCTGAGTAATTAGTTTTAAACTTAAATCTTATTCGATCTGTTATATTATGTAGTATTATGATGAATTCAAGTGCGCTACTTACACGAAGCAAAATTGGAAGAAATTAAAGAGGAATGGTGTCAATTTATTCTTGGGTTGAGAATTGTATAGAGTTATCGGATTGGAAGACTTGTAATTATATGTGAATTGAATGTATTTGTGTTGTTGTAATTCTGAGAATTGAATGTATTTGTGTCAATTTTTGTTGTAACATATTTAAACAGGTTTATGTGTATATTAAAATGTTTATGAACAAAGTCATGAGTTACATCCAAAGTTTTGAATTGTACATATAAGGTCAAAGTTTGAATGGTATATTTAAGGCCAAAGTTTGAATTTTATTTATAAGGCCAAAGTGCTGAAATAAAGGCCTTAATTATAAGCAGGTTTGTGTAATATAAGCAGGTTGTTGGTAAAATATACAAAACAGGGTGAATATTTTATAAAAAAAAATTTTAAAATCTAGGACATTAGACAGCGCTTTTACATAAAAGCGCTGCTAAAGGTCACAAATATTACGCTACAAAAGCGCTGCTATTGGTTTGGAAGGGGGGTCTAAGGCAGCGCTTGTAAAAAGTGCTGCTAAAGGGTGGGCTATGGCAGCGCTTTTGCAAAAGCGCTGCTAAAGGGGGGGGGGGGGGGGGGGGGTCTAAGACAGCGCTTTTTTAAAGCGCTGCTAAAGGGGGGATGGTTGGGGGAATTATGCAGCGCTTACAAAAGCGCTGCTGAAGGGAGCTTTTAGCAGCGCTTTTTCATTGAAAAAAAGCGCTGCCTTTACCTTTAGCAGCGCCACTTTTTGCAGCGCTTTAAAGCGCTGCTAAAGGCCAAAAAAAGTGTTGCTAAAGGTCTTTTTTGGCATAGTGATAATCAGTAAATGCATATTATTACTCCCTTCATTTCAAAATATTTTTTTTTTTAAGATTGTTGCAATCGATTAAAAAATATAATAATTAAATATAATAGTTTTATAAAATTGCCTTTAATTATTATTAATTGTCATCTATATAATATATAAAAGAAATACTTTGTTTTGGTGCGATCTATTCTTTTTCTTATTTTATTGTGTAATTTACTTCATAATTTTTTATTATTAACTTTCACATAAATTTTTATTATTAATTTTTAATTATTAATTTTCATATGTTATATTTTTTAAAATTTTATTTTAACAAAAAATATCGTTTATATTTTTATAAATATTAAAAAAATGATAGACGGGCACGCGAGTGTTCGTCTCAACGCTAGTATAAATATAATGTTGATGTAATAATATCTTAAAAATTGTATAGACAATATTTATTAAAAATAAAGTTAGTAAAAATTAATTATTATTGTATTTAAATAAAAAACTCTTATTAGAAGGAATTTCTTTAGTTAAAAAGACTCCATAACCCAAAAGTCTACACGTTTTTCCCGAGAGAAATAGTAGTATGTGACAGTGACAGCATATAGGAGATAAGCACCTATTCCAGTCAGTCTCTCCTTTCAGCACCGAGACAAACTTCGTGTCATTTCAACTCATTTCTTTTTTTTAAAGGTAATTTACCTTTATATATACATTTTCTTTGATGCTATGTCGCTATAAACCAAAACTGTGTTCTGAAGAACAGAACCACTTTCTTTTAACGATATTTTTAATATTTAACTCTCATCACTCATTACATCGAAAGCAGCCAGGTGTGATGTTGAATCATGGGTTACGTGCCTTTTTTTCCCTTTAAAATAAAAAAGTTGTAACGGATCATTAGTATTATATTATCCATTATCCAATAATGCAAATAAAGTCAAGTGGAGTGTAGTAGTAGTGCTCTCACTTTGTTGATTTTTCTTCCTATAGAAAACGACACACTTGCATAATATAACAATAATATCTTTGAATCTCTCTATCTATATATCTTGACTTTAACTTCGCTGATCAAAGAAATATACTAGTTTTGTGTTTATCAATAGTTTATAAGATGGAGAGTACGCTTAAGTCCTTCAGAGATGGTGAGTCGGTGCTGGACCTTAGCCCGAGATCCTGCGTTGGTGGCGGTGTTGAGGATGTCTACGGCGAGGATCGTGCCACCGAGGATCAACTCGTCACCCCTTGGACTTTCTCTGTTGCAAGGTACCACTATAATCATCATCACTCATCACTGTAAACTTCAAGTACTTCTACTGGATTGTGTTGTGTTCGTTATTCTGCTTAAATGTTAATAATCATTGACTTTTTAGCTATGATAAAATAAAGTCAAACAGTTTATAAACTGATTTATACCCTCAAATTATGTTAAGTAGACTACTCGTGACTGATAATTTCTTGCACTAGAGGAAAATTTTCCAAACCGACTAATATCTTTGAAGACAACAAAGAAATACTCAAAAAACTGAAGTAGTAGAAAGGGGAGAGAGACTCTGATAGTAGGTGGTTCCAGTCGATCTTAAACGTGACTCTGATAACTTGTTAAGAAATGTGATTGGATTGTCCTCACTTATAAACGCATATTCAGTTGTGCGTTTTTAATGTGTTTCTGTCTGTTTACACCGCAGTGGCTACTCTTTGATGAGAGATCCACAATACAACAAAGGGCTTGCTTTCACTGAGAAAGAGAGGGATGCACACTATTTGCGTGGCCTCTTACCTCCTGTTGTCAGCACCCAGCAACTTCAGGTTTGTTTCTCTGCGTTTTATCCATAAATCAAATCAATATTTCAGGATCTTGTTTTCCTTTCCCTTGTTTGGTTCTCATTCGTATTATTATTTTCTCCAGGAGAAGAAACTTATGCATAACATCCGTCAATACGAGGTTCCCTTGCAAAAGTATATGGCCATGATGGACCTTCAGGCATGCATTCACCCTCCAACGCATCATTGTTACATCATATTAACAACTTCATAATTGTTATTGTTTTGTTCATCGTCGTGCTATTAGTATTACTCATGTTGTCTGCAATGCACGATCATTGCGAATAACATGATGACTTGTGACATTTTTATAGAATGAGTATATGAAAGTTGAAATGTAACACAGCAACATGTTGTTGTTGTGGTCAACAGGAGAGGAATGAAAGACTGTTTTATAAACTTCTTATCGATAATGTTGAAGAATTACTCCCAATTGTATATACACCCGTCGTTGGCGAGGCTTGCCAGAAATATGGGAGCATATTCAAGCGTCCTCAGGGTCTCTACATTAGTTTGAAAGAAAAGTATGACTTCATTTTTCCGTTTGTATACAATTTTAAGGACGGCATTCATTTCAGGCTTATATACATCTGTTGTTGACCTTTTGCAGGGGTAAAGTTCTTGAGGTTTTGAAGAACTGGCCAGAAAGGAGCATTCAAGTTATTGTTGTAACAGATGGTGAACGGATTTTGGGACTCGGGGATCTCGGATGCCAGGTAAATCTCAACAAGATTAAAATCGAACTCTTAAGACCTTATGATTCACCGTGATTTTATGGTAAAATAGATTTAATTGTGTTGTATGTGCTTCAGGGTATGGGAATTCCTGTTGGTAAATTGGCTTTGTACTCGGCACTAGGAGGAGTTCGTCCTTCAGCAGTAAGCATTTTTCATATAATGTCTCTTTTCATTTTATCATTGTATCTTGCATGATTTTTTTTGTTCATTCTTCTTAATATCCTCCTTTTTCCTTTCTCGTGGCTAGTGTTTACCGATTACAATTGACGTGGGGACAAATAATGAGAAACTACTGAATGATGAGTTTTATATTGGCCTTAGACAAAGGAGGGCAACTGGGAAGGTTTGTATAACATATACATTATATTAGCGTATATTATATGCATTATTCAACTTGTATTTATATGAGGCTAATTTGTTGGTGTTTCCTTAGGAGTATTATGACCTTCTGCACGAGTTCATGTCTGCGGTGAAACAAAACTACGGCGAAAAAGTGCTTGTTCAGGTTGTTAAATATTTCAACATTAGATCATGTGGCTGTTGAACCTATTTTGTTCTCTTCTTTTTGTGTGTCTGATTATTTTAATGATTTGTTCAGTTTGAAGATTTTGCAAATCACAATGCTTTTGAGTTGCTTGCGAAATACGGTACAACTCATCTAGTTTTCAACGACGATATACAGGTATTATTTTTCACAACAACTAGCATGTATTTCTTCAAGTTTATGATTGTTTTAATTATTAATTAATGCATTTTTCTCAGGGAACTGCATCTGTTGTTTTAGCTGGAGTTGTAGCAGCCTTGAAGCTCATTGGCGGTACCCTACCTGAGCATACATTCCTCTTCCTTGGTGCTGGAGAAGTACGATCATAACTAACCTACACAGGGCCTCAGAATACTTAAGACGGTCCTGTTAGTTGTCTAACTCATTTTTGGTTATGTTTTCAGGCGGGAACTGGTATAGCCGAGTTAATTGCTCTTGAGATGTCAAAGCAGGTGAACCAACTATTTATTGTTTATACATTAGTAATTCATATTTTATGAAAGATCAAGATCATTTTAACTGGTGATGTTTTTCTGTTTATTTCTATTATTTCTACGGCAGACTAAAGCACCTATTGAAGAGAGTCGAAAGAAGATATGGCTCGTAGATTCAAAGGTAGTGGAAAACACGACAAGTTTATTATTTTGAAAATTCATTTTATTCTAAAGTTCTTATTTCTTCTCTTACAGGGTTTAATTGTTAGTTCGCGGGTGGATTCACTTCAACACTTCAAGAAGCCCTGGGCTCATGAACATGAACCTGTTAGCACTCTCATTGAGGCCGTTAAGGTATCGAAACATGTCTTTTCGTGACTTACAATAGGTTTCGTTTAGACCACGTTCTTATATAATCATCATACACTTTCAGATGATCAAGCCTACGGTTCTGATTGGATCATCTGGAGTAGGAAAAACATTTACAAAGGAAGTAGTTGAAGCTATGACAGCAAACAATAAGGTAAAATCTGATCTCACTCTATTATAACCGAGCAGCGGCGTCTGAGAGCGTGCAAAGTGGGCTACACAAAGCCTTCAAAAATAAATTTGAGACGACTCTGATAACGAGTACTTATATATATAACTTTGAAATAGAAAGTTTTAAACTAAATCTCCATCGTGCCTGGCCTGCAGATTCCTCTCATTTTGGCTCTTTCCAATCCAACCTCACAGTCTGAGTGTACAGCCGAAGAGGCATACCAATGGAGTGAGGTAAAATAGCATACGACTGCGTTGTTTTGTCTATATTTTCGTCGGTTCAAGTTATGCTTCATACTCCTACATATTACAATATTAACTTCCACAATCTGTTTTCTCATTCACGAAAAAAGGGCCGTGCAATTTTCGCTAGCGGAAGTCCATTTGATCCTGTTGAATACAAAGGCAAAGTTTATTATTCTGGCCAGGTTCTAAACTCTTCTTCGCCTTCATTACAATTTCTCATTTTCCGTAAAATCATTATATATGATTCATTCCTTGTCAATACAGGCCAACAATGCTTATATTTTCCCAGGCTTTGGTTTGGGTTTAGTAATGTCGGGAGCGATCCGAGTACACGATGACATGCTTCTAGCAGCATGTAAGTTATTACTGACAAATTTTGCGCGATACATCAATGTATTCATAACATTAATGTTCTTATTAATGGTGCAGCGGAAGCGTTGGCGAAGCAAGTGACAGAAGAGAACTACAAAAAGGGCTTGACTTATCCACCTTTCTCTGATATCAGAAAAATCTCAGCCAACATAGCTGCAAATGTTGCTGCCAAGGCATATGAGCTAGGTCTGAACTCAAACTTCATCATTCACACTAGTTAAAATATCTCAGTCCAAGATATGTTTTTACCTTTAAAACTAAACAAATTGCTTCGACTTTCATCGCAGGCTTGGCTACGCATCTTCCTCGTCCTCAGGATCTTGTCAAGTATGCTGAGAGTTGCATGTATTCGCCTTTATACCGCAACTATAGGTGAACAGAAGCAATTTACTACTGACTCTGAAGCTTTTGGATCTGTTAAGGGTGTTTTGGGTGTATGGTGTCTGTTTATTTTTGTGCAAAAATAAATGATTATATGCTTTACTTGAACCAATGTTTTTTCCATTATGATATCCTTATTTAATTTCAGTGTTTGTAACAAATTCCCCAAAGAAAAGGCTTGAGAAAGCATTATATTTGCAGTTGTTTGCCGAGACAATTTGGTTTGGTTTACCATGGCCTATTTATACCATGTATAATAAATTGATTATAAATAAGGAGTTTACCCAAAAAAAAACATTTATATTTTGAATTTAAATTGTGGGTTATGAGAAGGAGTATTAATATTGGATTAAGAGTAACACACAAGTGAGAGAGATTATATATTCACCTAAAATTTTAAGGTGATAGGTGCATGAGTTCTCCCACTTATAAATGTTTAAGTCTTCATATTTATAACCATGTGGGACTCCAATTCACACTTGACTTATTCTCAACACTTTCTCTCAAATGTGAGTCCACAACGCTCTCCCTCAAGTTGAAACTCTTTCATTCACATACACTTGTACTGCCGCTGACATCTCTTTTCTGGACATTTCGATACACCTCTTCCTGAACATTTCGATTTCAACGTGACACCTCTTTTTGGACATTTCGATACAAGTAAGTTGGTCTCTTTAGTCGAATCAAAGGCTCATGGTACTATTTGTTGGATCATGAGGAGGAGCATCAACATTGAACTAAGAGCAACACACAAGTGGGAGAAACACCACATATTCACCTAAAACCATAAGGTGATAAGTGTGTGGGTTCTCTCACTTATAAATACTCAAGTCTTTACATTTATAACTAATGGGGGATTCTAACTCACACTTGACTTATTTTCAACAAAAAGTAATTTCTCTTTGGCAGGTTGTGATATAAAAAGGTTCAAACAAAATTTGTTTATATTCAATTTTGATCAAATCAATTTATTTCGGACGAGAAAACAACTCTATTGTATATTCAAAGGTTTTTCAATCTCTTCGACTCTCAATATTTGAATCACGCAAACTAAGGTCTTTCAAAGTGTTATACTTTTATAGGTTTTTCAATCTCCAAGAACTTCAAAGAATTTGTACCATTGTCTTTCTATATGACGCAGTCGGAAATATTAAGGATTCGCAAGCGTTAAACGTAGAACGATAACACATGATTGCAAGCGCAAACCTGTCAAATAAACTCTGGAATCCAACAGATAAAGAAAATATTGAATTTTATTAAATCAAAGATAATTGTGTCCGTCACTCTCAAGAGTGTTTAAATACAAGGAAAAAACTCTAATAGACTTTTAATCCAAAACATAAATACAATAGAAAACAAAAAATCTAAAGTGCTTTTAATTATAAAAAAATTGAAATTTGCGAAAAATATTAAAATGTTATTTTTAGGCATGAAACAAACTTTGATGACTTAAAAAGTCTTCCTGCATCAGTCTCCTCCACCTCTAAAGAACTCGATCCCGAGTTCTCTTCTTGATAAAGAGTCTTATCAGCTTGATATTTATGAATGTCAGCAACATCGAAAGTATTGGATATATTAATGAATTCGGAAGAGCTACCACATAAGCATTATCATTGATCTTTCGGGTCACTTTTAAAGGGTCATACTTGCTTGGTTGCAAGTTCTGGTAAGTATCAACTAGAAATCTCTCCTTATGCAGAAACACCATCACATCGTCTCTCATATTGAAAACTATAACTTTCTTGCATTTCTCTCACATAGGAGGCAAATCGCTTTGTAGTTCATTTGTTGTCAGCTCCTTGAAATTCTCTAGAATCCTTAACACTTCTTTTGGAATTTTTGTTTTCTCGTTTAGAGCACTCATCAACTCTTTAATCACCATTGGACAGAAAAATTTAGTTTCTTTAATAGCCTTATCAAGCTATTTCACTCTGCGTCATCACCAAGAAATTAAGTTTCTTTCCTTCTAGATTCTTATCAAAGTGCAAAACATGAGGCATATAAATTTTTTTTGTGCCCCATGTAAACATCATCGTGTTATCCAGTCCTTGATAAGTGAAATCATTATCAAACTGCCAAGGCCTACCAAATAAAATATGACAAACATCCATATAAAGAGCATCAAAAGTATATCTTCTTTGTAATGCTTTTCTATAGAGATAGGAACTTTGCAGGCTAGTATTACTCAAACTTGGGAGCCCTTACTTACTCAATTGAAGGTGTGTGTCTTCTCATGGGATTCAATAGACAACTTCAAATAATCTACCAATTTCTATGACACCAAATTCTCCATGCTGCCATTATCCATAATCAGATTACACAACTTGTTCTTGATAGAATAGTGTGTTGTAAACAACTTATTGCACTACCATTCATCTTTAAATACTAGTAAAATTCTATGCAACGCAAAAGTTACTCTTTCATGAGATTCGTCCTCTACAAACTCAACACTTACATATTTATCGTTCTCAACTGCATGTCCTACTTTTTCCTCTTCCTCTTCTTTATCTTCTACAACATCATCGACTCTCCTTGTTGGACAAACATTTGATTTGTAACCTTTTACATTACAACGATAACACATGTCTACAGTGGATTTATCATATGTATTATTCTGCCCCTAGAGTGGTGTTTTACCCTGCTGGACACCACTAGGGCTTCTAGTCCCCTTATTCTCAAGGTTGAAATCCTTGTTTGCTGCAATATTTTCCTTATCCCTTACAGATTCAAAATTATTCTGGCCAAATACCTAAAAGGTGAAATTTATAGGGGATTTCTCCATCAATTATGCCTTCAAATCTAGACTATATGCCTCAACTACGGTTCGTACATTTTATAAATCCAACTTCTCAGGCAAGGATCCCGTCAAGCCACTGATGTATCGAGCTACCTTCTGCCTCTCTGATTCTCCCAATTCGTTACGCTCAAAGAAACGCATGAACTCATTTGTGTATTCAGTCACAATTATCTTACCCTAAACACACTCAATATACATCTTATAAAGAATCTCTTCAGAATCCTCTGGTAAAAACTGCTCCAACATCAGTTGTTTCATTCTTCACCAAGATCTGATCGGTCCCTTCCTTTGCCTTTTCCTCTAAAAAACAAGTGTATCCCACCAAACAATAACAATACTCTTCAGCCTAATCGTCGCCATCTTAACTTGTTCTCAGGAACACCCATAACGTCGAAGAACTTGTCAACGACGATCTGCCAAACCAGAAACTTTTCCACTCCCAGTGTTCCCTATAATAATGGAATATCATCATTCACTCGATAATCATGATTATGTTGATTCCCATGATCAAATACCTCTTCTTCGTAAGGTTCTTCTTCTTCAGAACTCAAATTTTACACAATAACAACATGATGATTGTTGACACCCCGCAGAACCCTATCATGCTCCCTTCCCTTGTCTCTTTGTTGGTTCCTGTTGTTGTTGTTGTTGTTGTTGGCGTTGTTCATATGATTTTCTAAATTCTCCATTTATTCAGTCAAAGTAGTTTGAGTCGCGGTAATTCCCTTAATATCCACTCTGGTTACCGGTTGATCTTCCATGGTTGATCAAGTTACAAAAAGAAACAAGAGAAACATATTATGATGCCACCTGAAGTAGTCGGAAACACTAAGGATTAGAAAGCGATAACACAGGATTGTAAGCGCAAAACCTGTCAAATGACTCAAGAATCCACCAGATAAAGAAAATACTGAATTTTATTAAATCAAAGATAATCCTGACAGTCAATCTCAAAAGTTTTTAAATACATGGAAAAAAATAAACCATAATGGACTTTTAATCCAAAACAGAAATACAATAGAAAAAAGAAACTTAATGTGCTTTTAATTCATATATATATATATATATATATATATATATATATATATATATATATATATATATATATATATATATATATATATATATATATATATATATATATATATATATATATATATATATATATATATATATATATATATATATATATATATATATTTGAGAAAAATATTAAAATACTATTTTTGGGCTTGAAACAAACTCGGATTGCTTAAAAAGTCTTTTTGCATCTCTATATTTCCTATTAAGATTGTCACATCTTTCAATATTTCATACTATATTTTAAAGGTTGAAAAATAAGAATGATAGAGATATGTATATTTAATTTCTAAAATACAACAGATTCATAACAAACCCAAAACACAACTCATTAACGAATGGATCCGCTAACCAAAATGATCAAACTCAATACTCATGAACCACACGATCAAACCCATTGGTCTTCGGACCAGACTCCCTGCCGTCCATAGTCTCTCGCCGCCTTAGTCCAGATTATCCCTTCGCCTTTCGCTAGCATTGTGAACGAACAACCTAAAAACCTCTGCCCCACAACTCTGGTCTCTTCCATAAACTTTTCTACTACTTTCTAGTGTTTTGATTTTCTGACAATTTCAAAATATGTTTTCCTTCTCTTAAAAGGTTCTCGTTTTATAATTAAGGCATAGTTATACAATTCTTCGCCTTGAATTTAAATCAATGACGGTGCCAATTTTCCCACCAAACCACCTTGTTGCCCTCTACTGTGTTAAAATCACTATCCACCTTTATCAAGTACAAGTCACACTTGAACTTTGATCTTGCCACTTGCACCCACTTGCTTCCAACCATATTTTTTAACTTCTATAATCTAATAAGTCCACAAGTATGGTTCTTCAATCATCTTTGACTCCCTTTGCTTTCAAATGCCTCCCTGAAGATCCTTATTTTTTAGTTTTGTAACTATTCAGCCACATTCAAAGCACAAATACTAAGGTCTGCATAAATGTATTTATGATATGATACATCTCCCTCGTTACTTTATCACAAGTTAAATGATATTCAGAGGTCATTATAATCATTGTTTCACTACTACTAGTATCCATACCATGAACATGCACTTAAACTAAGTCTTACCTACCATAGCTTTTATTATCTTCATCTTCATGTCTTTACTCTTC